CACAACAGCAATACAAGATTTAGATTCAACAGCATCTGTTCTAAATGAACAGACTAGAAAGGTTTCCTTAACAGTATGAATGAAGAAGAGATTTCCACCTTGCACGCCCCAAAACAGCCTATATTAGGTGAATATCCTGCACGAAAATTCGGCAGTGAAACATTTGTGCGACGATTTCAGCCTGAATGGTACAAGAAATATCCATGGATTAGTTACGAAGTGGATAAAGATGCATGCGTTTGTTTTGCCTGTAAAGAATTTGGGAAGAATACTTCATTTGTGCTTACAAATTGGAAGAAGTCGTCAAAGCTGGCAAAACATGGCAAGAGTGAGAACCACGTCAGATCCATGACAAGATGGCTCCAGTTTAAAGCAATGGAAAGAAAGAAAACCTCCGTACTACAACAGCTGAATAGTGCACACCAGGACCAGGTTGCTATTAACAGACAATACTTAAAAGTAATCATACAATCTTTGATGTACACTGCACAACAAAATGTTGCAATTAGAGGTCATGAAGAGATTCGGGGTGATATATGGGAGATATCTGATATAAATAGAGGAAACTTTCTCGAGTTACTTTGCATAAGATGCAACGATTTGCCTTGGCTGAAATCTAAACTTCAAAGCCAGCTGCAGACACATGCTCAGTGGACATCCCTGCTATTCAAAATGAACTACTGGAAATAGTAGCAAGTGTCATGCTTGAGAGGATAGCAGAAGAAGCAAGAAGTAGCGACTACTACGGAATAGTTGTCGATGAAACGGCAGACATCAGTCGAACAGAGCAATTATCTCTTTTCCTCAGATATGTTTTCAATGGCGAAACCAAAGAGACATTCACTGGTTTCTATTCAACCAAATCTACGGAAGGAGAAGTATTGTATGAGCTGTTAAAGACAGCCATTGGCAGGCTAGAGTTGACATTGGAAAACATTGTCGCAGAATGCTTTGATGGCGCTGCAAATATGAGTGGCCCTCGCAAAGGACTTGCTGCACGCATGAAGGAGTGCTCACCTCTTAGCATCTATGTTCACTGCCATGGGCATCGGCTTAACTTGGCTACAAGATACGATGACTACAATTGAGCCACTTCAGAAAGCTTTAGGTGTGATCCAGAGTCTCCATAATTTCTTGGAAGGAAGTCCCAACGCCACTCCATCTTCAATGACATCAAGGTCGAAGATGAGGACGAAGATATTACACTGACTATTAAATCGCAGAGTGCTACTAGATGGTCTTGTCGTTGGGCAGCTGTAAAGCAGTAGTAAACCAATTACCTAAGATCATCGAGGTTCTCCTTACACTCTCAAAAGATCGCGATCCGAAGACCTACAATGACAGCAATTCGCTACTTAACTCGATTTGCGACTTTCGGTTCGTTTTTGGTTTGATGGTATTAAAGGTTATTTTATCTAACACCGATGGTTTGAGCAGGTACCTACAAGGAAAGCAAATGGATGTCGCCACAGCAAAGAAGAGTGTTGATGGCGTGATTAAGACATTAATTGATGTCGTTCCCGAAAATTTCGAACTGTTATGGTCACGGGCTGAAATCATAGCACACAAAATTAAGGAGCAAATTGAAGGTACAGAATTCAATTTCAAAGATGCAAAAGTACCAAGATTCCAACAGCCGTCACGGCGGCTCCAAGCTCGTCGGTGAAATGGCTGAAGTAAATGCAGAAGTGGAAAATCGAACAGAAAAAGATTACTATCGTATCACATGCTACTACCTAAGCATTGACAAGATTGTGGCGGAGATGAAATCAAGATTTGAAGGTAGTGATCAAGAGGTCCTATTGGCACTTGCAGATATTGTGTTCAACAGGTCTCCAACCACGGCGAATGTTGAGTTGGTATCACACTTCTATGGTATCGACAGTGAGCTTCTTAGTAGCGAGAAAAATGTCTTTGAGAATATTGACGTTGATTTCCCTTGTGCTGAGAGAAAACGCTGCCAAAATTGTTAAGAGAATGTTCGAAAATGGTGTTCATGAAGTCCTGCCTGTGGCTTACAAAGTATTTTCGATTCTGGCCGCGATCCCGCAACATCCTGCTCAGCAGAAAGATCTTTTAGCGCTCTTCGTCGCTTAAAACCTATCTTCGAAGTACAATTGGTCAAAACGGTTAAACAGCATTGCCCTAATCAATGTGGAAAGAGCCTATGCAAATAGTACTTTAAAGAACGACATGGAAAAGATAATTAACATTTTGGACAGCGACGTAATCGTAAATCTTATTTCTTTTAGTCTTAGATCGTCGCACATTTAACTAACTAAATTTCTTCTCTAGTGTTATATATGACAAAATTTCAAATATCAAATAAAATGTAGTTACTTTCGTAGCATCCTCTTAGCAAATTGTAATGATTTTAGCTTATTAATTGAGATGGCCAGAGACAACATAAGAATATCTATGACGTCATACGTCATATGACGTCATATAATTCGGGCAAATTTAGTCCAGCTCCCCCTAAAAATATGTGCCCGTACGCCTATGCATCATAATACTGTACATATGTACAGTGGGTAATAACAGCTGTACCTGTAACAAAAGCTGCTTTTTCCCTTTTTTTTACTTGGTTTTTGCACTGCTTAACTATCAAGTCATGAATTTCATTGCTTTGAACAGCCTTTGCTCTTTCCACCTAAAACACACGCTCCTCTGCCCCTAACAGGTTCCTGTGGTCTACAGCTAACATTAACCTTTCAGAATTAGAGCTCAGCTGCTTACATTCCTCTAAAATTAAAAAATGCATATTCACAAAAAGGCATTTAACAACAGAAAGAAACATAGTACTTATTTGGGTTTAAGTGACGACTGCACAGGTTTTGTCTTATCACTTTTGGTGGAAGCAACGATGATACATATTGTGCAGGCCATAAAAAACAGACAGTTTATAGATCAGAACCTGACTTCAGCATATGTGAGCAAGAAAGATTATACACTGTAGTTCAACGCTTTGAAGGGCACAGGCTTAAGTCCTCATCTTGATGAGAGCTGGCTTTTCTTTTTCTGGACTGCCTTTCATTCCTAATCTATTTCTAGATGAAATAACAATAAAAACTTTCTTTTTCTTGTAGCTAACCTGGTTAACCAAGGTTATTTACTAAATGGTGATTGTACAAATAGAGTACTAACATAAAACATTCAAGTTATTTGAAGAATAGGACATGCTAACTTAGTCTATGTTACATGATAATCCATAATCATGTAAATTATACTTATTATTGTCATATACTTAAATATATTATGAAGCAACTGTTTAGTCATCTTTGTAAAATGCCTTACTCATACATGCATGTGTATGATAATCACAATAACAGGAAAAGCTTATGCATAGGACGTGGTCAGCCTACTGACCACACACAACGTAAAGGACGTGGTTAATCAACTGACCACAGTCTACGCGCAAGCGGCTAATCCTACATCATTGTACGATCACTTATAAGCAGAGAAATGAAAGATGTAGTTTTGTTTGTGCTCAGTAGAAGTCCACATCAGAAGAAAGCCACAAGTAAAAGAAAACAAACCATTTACGAAAACAACCAAAGAATCCAGAACATTCTATCCATCAACGAAAGAGTCACTGAAAGCAGTTGTCCTAGATAAGTTTGAACACTTAAACATTTATATTATAACGTTTATATTAAAATTATTAGTATATTAAATAAATATCTTAAGAATTGATCACAACTTCTCCACAAAGATTTACCTTTTGATAAGAGCAATTGAACCAAAAGCAGCTATTTTTATTGTTAGTCGGGACGTTCGTAACAAAATTGGGGGCCCACCTGGGAAAGAACTCTTTCAAGTTACTCAATTAAGCAGAAGTCAAAACGAAAAAGAAAATAGAATCCAAAACAAATTGCAATAATTTCAACAACAAAATTTCACATCAATATTTTATAAACAACAAAAAGAGAAAAATCATTTATCAAAGTAAACTTGTGGACCAGTTGTTTCAACATGTCTGCATTTAAACCAGAAGAGTTTATGGTGGAACCAACGTATGAAAATATTTTGAAATTAAGAAAAGATGATTTAAAAGCTTTAGCAAAATATCTTAAGGTCGTATTAAAAAGTTCAATGTCTAAACGCGAAATACAGCATGTAATTTTAAAAAGATTATGCAACGATAAACTTGTTGATGAAGCAGTTTTAGAAAGCAGTTTTAGAAAGCAGTTTAAGAAAGCAGTTTTAGAAGATGAGGTGTAGGCTGTGTCGAAGATTTTGAAGCAAGAAAGTGAATAGTTGGTTTTACATGAGTGAGATTTAAGGTGTCGGTTTTGTCTGTTGTGGTATGTTCCCTGATTCTGGTGGATAAATGGCGAAGTTTCGCCAATGTATCGGGAATTACATACTGCGCAATTGATTTCATATACCACCAGAGATTTAATTGAATCAGGGATTGGGTCTTTGAATGAGAAAAGGTTTTTGATTTTGAATGATATCAAAATTAGTCGAATGTCAATATCTGTACAGAAGTGTTTCATAATGTTGGTTAACAAAACTAACCCTGACCTCAATGTTCAAGTTTTTTTAAATTCAATACAATATTTAGTTTATAATACGCTCGGACGCTCCCATTAATTTATCTTATTTCCTTTTTATTATTCTAATTATTCTTATCTCCTTTTTATTGTTGTAATTTATGTATCATATTACTTTTATATAAACCTTGTATTACTTATTATTTCACTCATACTGAAGATGGCATCATGAGATGTCGAAACATGTCTATTTTCAAAAAACTTGTCGATTATATTAAATGTGCATTAGCAATAGTACTTTTACGAAATTATACAGTGGAATGTCATGTCAATTAGCCATGTCAATTAGCCACTGTTGAATGAATATACCATCAAAGGCTTTGGCGTTATGAGCAAAGGCTGTAAAACCAATTTGCTCTTGGTAAAAGAAAAATAAGCAAAACTCATTCAAGGCATTATAGCCTTTAAAAATGAATCTGTACTGTCAGAGTACTGAGCAGCAGCTTAATTTACGATAAGTTCGCCAGTTGAAAAGTCTCTCGCAAAGTCATGAAATATCAGTTTGATGTTACGCCGTTTTGGTTCTTCAGGCTGCATAAAGCACAAATGATCTTTCAACAAAAACTTTTTACCTAGATGGCACATGACTTAAATCACTGTTGAAGTACTGGAAGCATTTATCACAATAAAAACGTTTGCCAGGGAAAGCTGGGAGTTTAGTCGGATTTATAACATTGTAATGGTCCCCTTGCCTATACAGAACTTCTTACTTCTACGGGGCCCTCGTAAATTACGGTGTTTCTTGCATTAAAATTAATGACAACAATGTAGTAATCAGGCAGAATCCTTTGGATATTTTACTGAGACCACAGGGACCTGGAGAAATATTATCTTTATGTAAAGTTTTAAAGCTTCTTTCTTCTGTGCAATACTTAATAGTTTAAACAGCTTAAGTTTCGAATGCCTGTCTGCTATGGCTTATGCTACAGATAGGAAAGGGCCACAGCAAATATTATCCTTATTCCTTATAGCGATAATAGATTTCTTAACTATTTTGTCTTTAGAATAATCTAATACTTTTAAAGAGGTTGAATTTTTTTACCGGACCCTGTCAGCTGTCGTACTGCAACTACATCAATTTTGAACTTTTTACCTAGATGGCACATGACTTAAATCACTGTTGAAGTACTGGAAGCATTTATCACAATAAAAACGTTTGCCAGGGAAAGCTGGGAGTTTAATCGGATTTATAACATTGTGATGGTCCCCTTGCCTATACAGAACTTCTTACTTCTACGGGCCCTCAGAATTACGGTGTTTCTTGCATTAAAATTAATGACAACATTGTAGTAATCAGGCAGAATCCTTTGGATATTTTGCTGAGACCACAGGGACCTGGAGAAATATTATCTTTATGTAAAGTTTTAAAGCTTCTTTCTTCTGTGCAATACTTCCTAGTTTAAACAGCTTAAGTTTCGAATGCCTGTCTGCTATGGCTTATGCTACAGATAGGAAAGGGCCACAGCAAATATTATCCTTATTCCTTATAGCGATAATAGATTTCTTAACTATTTTGTCTTTAGAATAATCTAATACTTTTAAAGAGGTTGAATTTTTTTACCGGACCCTGTCAGCTGTCGTACTGCAACTACATTAATTTTGAACGATGTGTGCAGAGGGATGTTTTCGTTACTACCGTGAAATTGGCACCACATTGGGAACCACATTCAACACAACATTCATTACCACATTCAACACAACATTCATCACCACATTCAAAAAAGTTGAGGTCAGCTTTAGTACTACATCGGCTCCTTGGCCCAATTGACTTCTTTTCCCATTTCCACCTTGGTAAGCATCAAAATCGTACAATATTCCACTGTCACCTGCTCTACACCAGACCTTGAATCCCCATGGATGTGGTTTACTCTTGATATATTGTCGAATGGGACTTGTCCTTCCTCTGTATTTACACATCATTTCATCAATTGAATTGTGCTCTTCTGGAATAAGTTTCAGGCAGTTTTCTCTCATTTTTTCAAGCCATGGTCGAATTTTCCACAATTTGTCTCTCTTGTCATTGTCAGATACCAACAAATTGTTCACAAAATGAAGCATTCTCAACAAAAGCTGAAATTGATTACGACTCATGACATCACAAACAGGACTGTATGCAGTAGCAGATTCCCAATACTGTCGAACTCCATTCCACATCCTTACAAGCCCCATATGAAAAAACATACAGATGAGTTGTTCTATCTCTTTTTTATTAGTGTTTATTGAGTTTCCAGACTTTTGGACACTGTATTCATTGGTGCTTGTCAGCAAATTTTGAAGCATATCATCACTCACAAATTGCTTAAAATATTGAAGAGGAGTTTTTGTTTCCATGTTCACTGGGGCTTCAATGTTTGGACCAGTAAATGTTACACTAGTTTCCGACACAACAAATGAAGTTTTTCTCCAACTCGGCTTACTTGTTCGTATTGAAGCTAGGGGCATGTTATCATCATTGTCATCACTATCATCAATTTCCCCACTCACATTTTCAAACTTACCATCATCATCACTGCTGCCAGAGTATTCTCCCTACAGAAAAAAATATTTTCAAGTGAAAAAAAGTACTGGTTAGCATGATTGGCTTCTTGAATAATCAGCCTTACTGAAAATTGCTGACAAGTTTATTTGTATTTTGATATTTGATAACAATCAATCTTCTTTATTGCTATTATAGCATTTCTATTTTGGTTTATTCCAGTGTCAGTTAGCCAAACTAATAGGAAATCTAAATTTCATTTGTACAAAAACCAATACAATCAGCAAAGCTTTTAGCTGTATCTGTTCCCAACATTCGTTGTCACTGCTGCTATCTGAATCACCAGCATCACTATTGTCACAATCAAGGATGTCGAGAACATTGTGAGCATCAAAATGTTGCCTTTCCATCACCTAGAGATTTCATTCTAGTGTTAGCAAGTCAGTCTACACTTCCAGTAGTAAATATTTATTGGGATATAAACGTATTATTAGAGTAATATGATACCGGAAATTCATATCTATAATGATGATACATGATTGGATAATTGATCATGGACTTTGGCACTAACACTTATATATATACTAAGTTCTTTGTCTTGTTGACATTCTATATCTTTTAGTTTTCTTATTCTGTTCTATTGCACTGCACGTTGTATTTGGTTATGTTATATTAAAATGGTTACTTAAACATTATAATTCTAATAGGTTATGGGCCCAGGACGCAAACTGTCCTACTAAAGATAAGTAATTTAAAACTTAAGCAATGTCTTTTTCGGATAGCGCTCTTAAGTTCGCAAAATTGAATGGCACGAACTACCGGTCATGGGCTTTCAACATGCGGTTATATTTGGAAAGCATGGACTTGTTTGAATTCGTCGAAGGTAGTGCGATTGCTCCTAACGACGATGCCGGTGCTGATGTTCGAAGGAGATTCAATTCCTCCGCGAAAAAAGCATGGACGTATATTTGCTTGGCTATCGAGCCGGATCAGCAAGTGCACGTGAGAGAAACGATAACGGCAAAGGAAGCGTGGGACGCTTTGAAAAGTCAATTTGCCAGGGAATCGTTACTTCAAAAGGTTCGTCTTCGCCAGCAATATTATTCGTCAAAATTTCATGTTGGAGGGAATATGTTGGAGCATATAAACAACTTAAAATCATTACACGAGCAACTAAAAGAAATGGCGCAAGTATCGATGATACAACTAAAAAAATGGGCGCAAGTATCGATGATAAGGAACTGGCAATGACCCTGTTGGCTAGTTTGCCAGATAAATATAAGCCATTAATAACGGCATTGGATGCTGTTGGTGAGAATGAACTTTCTTATGAGAAAGTGAAAAACATGATACTAAATGATGAAGACAGAGCTAAAGATTCCGAGACCAGAAAAGAGGATGCATTTTCCGTGCAACGTAACAAGTTTCGAGGTGGGAAACAACGTGGTGGTCAGAATGAGAACATTTATAATCGAAAGAAAGGCTTTCGTGGCAAGTGTTTCATTTGTGACGAGAAAGGGCATCTAGCAAAAGACTGTCCGCAGAAGAAGACGAAGCAGTTTCCAAACAGTGGCAACTCTTCAATCAATAAGGGAAACAAGTCTGCTCAGCTTGCAGAAAACGAAGAAAATAGCGAAATCGATAATGGTGATGCGTTGATTTCAAATTCATCAAACATTACAAGGAATTCAGATTGGATTATCGACTCCGGTGCAACCCAGCACATGACTTACGATTTGGAAGGCTTATGCAATTACGTAGAATTTAAGCAACTCTGTGTAGTAAACCTTGGAGATAACCGCTCTATTTTAGCGTATGGCAAAGGAACTTATAAGGTAAAAGCTATTCTTGGCGACGGAAACAAAAACATCTCTTTGCAGGATGTATTGTATTTACCTGACATAAATAGAAAATTATTATCTGTTCGAGCGATGGTAAGACTTGGAGCTATTGTTACTTTCGAAAACGATGTTTGTAACATTCGACGAAATTCAAAACTGTTAGCAGTGGGAGAACTACAAGGAAAACTGTACATCTTGAAAATTGTCGAGCATTATATGAATGTTGCAAAAGAACAAAGCTTTGATTCAGATTTGAATTTATGGCATTGCAGATTGGGACATCTTGGAATAAACAATGTAATGAAACTCGTCGAGAATGATATGGTCGATGGAATAGGCAATGTAACAGGTAAAAATCAGTTTTGTGAAGCTTGTGTGTTGGGAAAACAGCATCGTTGCTCTTTTCCAACGAGCTAAGGAACCGTTCGAAATTATACATAGTGATGTATGTGGACCGATACAAGAGAATTCCATTGGTGGATCTCGATATTATGTCTCCTTTATCGATGACTACACCAGATATGTACAAGTATACTTTTTGAAGAACAAGAGCGAAGTTTTGGAAAAATTTAAAGAGTTTTTCAACTATGCAAAGAATATCTCTGGTAAGCAAGTTAAGATTATACGCACAGACAACGGTGGTGAGTATCAATCAAAAGAATTTGAGTCGTTTTTAAAGGACAATGGTATCACACATCAAACAACTGTTCCGTATAACCCAGAGCAAAACAGAGTTGCAGAACGGATGAATTGTACGATAATGGAATCAGCAAGAAGTATGTTGATGCACTCACGTCTACCCAATAAATTCTGGGCTGAAGCTGTAAATACAGCAACTTATCTTCGAAATAGAAGTCCAACAATTGCTTTGGACGGTATGACTCCTTATCAGTGTCTATTTGGGATAAAACCTGATGTAAGTAATCTGAAAGTGTTTGGCTGCGTAACATATATGCACATTCCTAAAGAGCAAAGGAAAAAGTTGGATGCAAAATCTCTCAAGACAATTTTCATGGGTTATCCTGATGGGACGAAAGGGTTTAAGGTATTTGATCCAATGTCGAAGAAGTTTTATAAAAGTCGTGACGTTATGTTTCTAGAGCAGCAATTTTATAACTTTGAAAACAAACAGCGTGAGCAAAAACTCATTGAAGATGAAGAAAATCGTAATGTACATGATGTTCATGTAAATAGCAATGATGAAAGCCAATCAATAGAAGATCGAAATGCTGAACATGAAAACGGTAATGTTGATGCAAGAGAAGTAGATGATTGCAATCGAGGGGGAGAAAATTCTTACGAAGAGAAATTCATGAATGAGGTTAGACAACTCAAAGGTGAAAGGATACGAAGAGCACCTCAAAGATTCAACGAAGAATGTTACACAGTCAGCGACTTAACTGCAGACATCAGTGAACCCAACAATATAAAAGAAGCAACAACTGGAGAACATGCGAATGAATGGAAGAACGCAATGATCTCAGAATACAATTCGTTGAAAGATAATCATACTTGGGATTTAGTACCTTTACCAGAAAACAAAAACGTAATCGGGAGTAAATGGGTTTACAAAGTAAAAAGAAAAGCTGATGGTTCAATCGAACGATTTAAGGCAAGATTAGTTGCTCAAGGTTATGCTCAATCATATGGAGTAGATTACGAAGATGTGTTTGCTCCAGTGGCAAGATATAATACCATCAGATCATTATTGGCTGTGGCAACCATGTGTGATTGGTAAATACATCAAACAGATGTAAAAACTGCATTTCTTCAAGGAGAATTAGAGGAAGAAATCTATTTACGGCAGCCTGATGGTTTTGTTGACAAAGATCATCCTGAATATGTTTGCAAGCTTAATAAAAGTATATATGGTTTAAAGCAAGCTGCAAGGTGCTGGAATGCCTCTATATGTTGACGACATGCTCCATTTCTCCAATTCTATTGAGATGTTGGAAAAAGAAAAGTCAGGAATTGCAAATAGATTCCATGTTGAAGATCTTGGTGAGATTCATTATGTGCTAGGGATGAGTATAAAACGAAATCGAAGATTGCGAACATTAACCATTAATCAGGAGAAATATCTACAAGGAATACTGAAAAGATTCAACATGCAAAATTGTAAAGCAGTCTCAACACCACTTGAATTTGGAAAGAAGTATGAAGTGTTAAGTGAAGGTGAGAATCCAGTTAATGTGAAGCAATATCAAATGGCAATTGGATGCTTAAACTATGCTACATTGATAAGTCGACCCGATTTAGCTGTTGCAGTTGGAACTTTATCAAAGTTTATGGCAAAACCAGGACTAGAGCATTGGAGAGGAGTTAAAAGGATCCTACGTTACATTCAAGGTACATTGGATTATGGTCTAAAATTTACCACAGATGGCAATGATCCAACATTGTCAGGATATACAGATGCAGATTGGGGTGGAGATATAGTGACACGTCGATCTACTACAGGGTACATATATCAAATTAATGGGAATACTGTGAGTTGGTGCAGCAAAAGGCAGGGATATGTTGCAAGATCAACAACAGAAGCCGAGTATGTATCTTTAAGTACAGCATGCCAAGAAGGAGTCTGGTTGAGAAAACTTCTGGATAGTATCTCAATAACACAACAAGAGCCTACCATCATCTATGAAGACAACCAAGGGGCTATTGAGCTATCAAGAAATCCGAAATTCCACTCTCGGACAAAACATATAGATGTGGCATACCATTATGTGAGAGAGAAAGTTCACGAGAATATCATTTCTGTTAAATATTGTTCCAGTGAGAATATGTTAGCGGATATATTTACAAAAGGACTTAGTAAAGATACTTTTCAGAAATTCAGGAACATGTTAGGCGCTATCAAGATTAAAGAACAATGAACATTCAACTGATTCAAGTATAATCATTAAGTGGGAGTATTGGGATATAAACGTATTATTAGAGTAATATGATACCGGAAATTCATATCTATAATGATGATACATGATTGGATACTTGATCATGGACTTTGGCACTAACACTTATATATATACTAAGTTCATTGTCTTGTTGACATTCTATATCTTTTAGTTTTCTTATTCTGTTCTATTGCACTGCACGTTGTATTTGGTTATGTTATATTAAAATGGTTACTTAAACATTATAATTCTAATAATATTGACTATTAGGCATTGGGCATTGTGAGCAGATTTTTGACTCCAATGTTACTTACATGGTCTTTATATTCTCTTATTCTTATTCAATACAAAGTAATTACCTTATCATGTTGCTTCTGAGCGATACTGCGTCCATTATATCTTTATTCCAACATTCTATATTATCTGCTATGAGGCAGAAAGCCCAATGTGACACCAATGTACACAAAAGTTTTGACGAAGTAAAATAACACATACCTTTTGAATCTAGAGCACATTATTGATTTAATATGAAAATAAACACTAAAAAAAGCTCAAATATATATAAAAAAGTAATTTCATACCTTATATAATCAAAAATATCAAACATATTTGATGTGTGTTGATGGACTTTGGACTTCTTGTTGATGATGGCCAATTTGTATATTGGATACTGATCGCCATATATAGAATAACCAATCAAATTCACTCATTTTGTGTTACAAGTACGTCACGTTGGGTATTGGTGCAAAATTTTATCAAAAAACTAGAATAGCTGGAATACAGAAGTCCTCTGAAAGGAATGTTACACATATGTCACAAGGGGCTTTACAGGGTTAAGTTGAGATTTTCAAGTCATTGCTAAACAAAGGCCTGTAAATAAAAAACTACACGGTAGAATTGTTTTAAACTTGGCCATTTTTGTAGATATTTTTATTGTCTATATCATATCCAAAATCTGTTTATATCATATCCAAAATCTGTCTATAACACTATCAAAATCATTGTTGATATATGGTTACCAATGTGCGTAATATGTAAATAAGTAGCGGTTCCCGTTCTATTGCAAACAAAGGCGTCTAACTTGTGAATCAAACGACATGCCTAATTAGCTGACAACAGTATTTAAAGTTTTTTATTCATTTTGAAGTCATATACATTAATATATATGAATAACTTTTTTTGCCCCCCTCTTCTTCCCCGTGGCTTTCTTCTTTTGTTTTGTGGGCATCTCCACTTTTTGTGCCCAAGCTGCCCACAAATAAAGCATCTCACATCTGTAAAAAGTGTTCGCACTCATTTTACTTGAATAGTTCTAGCGTTACTTCCTATAAAAGATGAATTACCTCTTAAAAATTGGGACTGCGTCGACGCTTGGTGCATTGGTTGATCTGTTGGCTCCTGATGCTCAATAGATGGAGCTAAAATTAAAATGGAAGAGAATTTTTTATCGGCTAAGAAAAATGAGGTTTTTCGAACATTTATTTTCAATATAAAACTGCACCTTGGGTACGTTGACTTTGTTGTTCGCTCGGCGGAACCTCTCCATTTTTCCGCAAATGTTCTTCAAACACTGTAAAATTATAATATATAACTATTTTATAAAGCTCATTAGATTGACTTGAAAGGATATTTTTATTTACAGCGAAATCTTTGGAGCATTTCGTCGTCCATTGTTATGGTTTTTCCCCCACTGTTTGGGGTAGCCACTTCGCGCATTGCCTCCTCGTTTTTGTCAGCATCTATAATAAAAAATTAGTCTTGTTGTTAGAAGAAAATATGAAAATATTGATGAACTTTTCTTTCTTCTATTCAAAAATATTACCCATTGGCGAAGAGATATTTTTTTTGAGATTCAACTCAACTGTTTAGATTTCAACGTAGTGGCTGGTCTGTAAGCTGTGAACAGTGAATAGGATGTTATGTTGTAGGATGCTTTGGTGTTAGTATTTTGAGACGAGGTGACATTTTGGCTTGAGATAAGATTACAACAACATAGCCAATGACTGCACTGCAATTTTGGGATGATTTGCATATCTCAATAGAACATTGACAGTTCCCTATTTTCATTAATTGAAGTATATTCAAAAGCATTTCATCGATTGTAGTTAACTTTAGAAAATTACATTGCTGATTAACATACCTTTTTTGAATAGGTAAGCAGTGGCCTTTTTTGATTTTTTGGCAACGAAATAACCAAACCGTTCTGATTTACTCGCTTTATTTTAATTTGCATTTCTTAAGGTAGCATTCATAAGGTAGTATCGTTGAATTGTGCCAACATACATGCATGTAAGTGGTGGAAAATTGATGGTTTTTGGGCTAAAGTTTTGGAAGAGTGTGGACATCCAAATCTAGTAAATTCACGCAAATACCTCTATATGATGTGGCGACGAAATTGGGGAGGGTTTCAAAATGCATACGAGAGTGAACAGCAAAGGGAAACAAACATCGCTAAAAAGGAGGTAAATTATTGTGAATAAGACATTAATACATTGTTTGTGTAATTAACCCTTATTTTACAATGACGATGCAATCTCGATTGTGCATGCAAACAGTGAACTCAATATTTAAAGAACTGGAATGATGCCTGAAAGCTGAAAGCAAAAATTGAAGCCAAAAAATCTTTGTCGTCATCATTCGTCATCACTCGTGTTTCTTCCGCGTTCATAAATAATTTGTATTTTTTTGGACTTTAATTTGACCTCAGTTGATTTCATTTTACTAGTCTGTTTTATCTTCATCAAGAAAACATTTTGAACTTAATTTACTTCATGCATGAGTGATTGTTTGAATGACATACCTAACAGTAAAGACTCCATTTGAATAAACAAACGTTTTGCGATAAAGAAACGAGGAAAACGTCTAAAATCTTACTTTCCTAATAAAGCCATGTGATTAAATGAAGCTAAAAAATATGTTTAACCGCATTACGTAAAACGTTGTTAAATGCACATATCTGTTCGTGAGGGTTTGTTTAAAATTTGTTGACAGAAGCCTTCTTACAGATAATGCACGGTCGTTTGCAAATTTGTAGACACCCCCATTCAGTGAAAAATTGGAGAATCGGGACAAGAAAAAAGTCCTATGGAGCAATAAAGTGAGCAGATTTTTTCTTCTATTATTGTCAAAGCTAATTTGCAAGCAAGGCATGAAAATAAAGAACGCAAGTCAATTGTAAAACCCCTGTCATAATCTTTATATATTTGTAGGTTGTTGGCTCTAGCATTCCGGGAAGTTGTATGCAATCACAAGAGAAATGGAAAAAGGAGATGCATACAAAAGCTCCTATATCAGGTGAAAAGAACATATTTATTGACACAAATGACTTTACACCATTGACATGTTTAGGGGAGAATGATAAGTCTGCAAGAATACAAGTTAAGAAAGACGAAAATATGCAAGTAGAAGTGAAGACGTTGGAAACTGTTCTCCAAGATAAAAAGTCAGCATGTGCAACACCCTCTAGTCATATTCGTGTTGCTACTAGGCAGCGTCGTGCCCCTAATGTGTACACTCCGAACTGCAACGAACAAGCTGTTTATTGCTTTTGCCAACGAGAAGACACTGGCTGGTATTTAGTGTGTAATTTTGAGAAGGTAGGATGCATGAAGTACTATCATCCTAGATGAGTTGGTTTGGAGCACTTGAAAAATAAAGAAGATGGAGAATGTTTTAGTAACTGTCTAGATGGTGTTTCATTCATGTGTCCTGTATGCATAAAGAAAACGGAAGAGGAAACAAGTGGCTGGATGAGAAACAAGGGTGTAACACGTGTGCAAAATAGTTCGAAACAAACAAACCGAGCCAATGCACATTTGTTGACTGAAGAAAATGAATGTACGGTCATAGAAGAAGTTAGCAGACTTAACAGCCCAAATGTTCCAACTAATGACGAATTATTTACTGCGAAGAATCAAGATGCTGAGATTGAAGGTGCTTGGAAAGAAGAAAATATAGTTTGCTCTTACTCATCAGATGACGTGAATTACGATGACATGCCAGACGACGTGAATTACGATGACATGCCCAATGACGTGATAACGCTGACATGCCAGATGACGTGAATTACGATGACATGCCAGATGACGTTAATTACGAGGACATGGCAGAGGATGTGAAGCATGATGGTATGCCAGATGACACATCAATAACGCTCAGAGAAATAAGAGACGACGATCTAATACAGAATTATAAAATCAACAGCTTAAAAAGGAGTGATTTGACGTATGTTTCCAAAGACAAAAAAGCAATTGGGAATGAGAACGGGAGTGACAAAAAACCATTTGATGCGAAAGAAGCTGTTCATATAAGACCACCAACTGTCAACATTTTGCCAATTCCTCATGACACCTTAGGTCGCATGATGGATTGTCCAAAACTAACATTTGATTCATTCTTCACTGCATAATGTCCATCAGAAGCATTGTTTACACTAAGTCAGGATGAATAGTCGCAGATGGTACCCACGTATGTATCACCAAATCGCCTTCAAAACAATTGGACTAAGATAATTGCTGGACACCTGCAACTATCTAATCCATTTTGCAGTTTCATCTTCGACAGGCATTATGTTCAGAAACAAAACTCACGTAAGCGACGTTACAAAATCTATTTCAAAGCTAATGGTCGATGTATATTTGAAGACTGTTCGTGCCGCTTTACTCTCGCAATGAGTAAAGATGATTTTCATCAAAAAATTGTTCACATGAAATACACTGGTAGCATGAAACATACAAATAGTGAAAGAAAATCTCGTCCCATTTAAGGAGAAGAACGCGCTCAACTCAGGGAAGAATTCTGCAGTGGCCTTCTTAAGCCATCCGTTATGTATCAGAAGAAAAAACAGGATGTTTTCCATGATGCAATGGCATCTGGAAATAGAACAGGCTGTGGCAATAAACTTGAAACCATGAGAAAAATTGCAAGTGAAGGAAAACAGTTGTTGCAACAAGATAAAGACCTTGCATGCTCTCTGGAAAAAATAAGAAGAACGCTTGTTGAAAAGGAAACTGCACGCGAATTTCCACCATCAAAAGCCCACGATGGTTTCGTACATACTATTGCAATGTATCCTCTCATCGTTCACATGTGGATAGAGAATCAAGTGCGTTTGTGGCACGATAGATGCAAGGATATTTCTTATCTTGACGCAACAGGAACATTGGTTGCTGATCACAACGGGAAGCGCGTCCTTTATTATGCATTAGTAATACGCCATCCAGTAAAATATGAACCATCGTTTCCAGTTGCAGAAATGATGACTTCGGATCATACAACGGGAAATATTCGCTCATTTTTAGAAAGATTTCGGCGAGATGAATCAAAGTTATATAGAGGGAATCTATCATCTCCAAGGCAGGTAAACACTGACTATTCAAGGGCTTTGTTAATGGCAGTTTTGCAGGAATTCAATAACGAATCAATGGCTGCATTCTTCAAGAGAGCTTTCAGGATAGTCAATGGAAGAAGTCTTGACAATGATTTATCTCTTACAGTACCTCATGTTGGATGTAGTCATTTCATGCACATTGTTCACAGGTATCTCAAGAAATTGGATTCTGCCGAAAAATTTGTACGGCCTGGAGACGAACTTAAGGAGAAAGAAGAAAATTTGTATCGTTTCAACATGTACGCCATGTCCTTGCTTGTGAATGCCAGGACTCTACACGAATTACAAACGACTTTAGAAGACATTATTATATGTTTATGCAGCAAGAAACAAACAAAGATGTTAAGGAACGCATATGCAAGAGTTAATGCATGCATCCAAAACATGGACAAATTGTGTTCTGTATACATTTCCGAACTTAAGAAGGAAAGCAATCACACCAGTTTGGATTGCAGCGACTGTGAGGATAGTGTAGTTATCCAATCTTCCAACCCTTTTGTCGATTTGTTTTCTACCATCGTTGGGAAAGTTAAAGGATGTGTTGAGAAGGATTCAGAAAATTCCTGCAAATCACCAGTAAATGAGAATCGTTGCTATTGTCCCAAATTTCTCTGCTTCATTACAAAGTATTTGAGTGAGATGGCATTGTGGTCTGGTGTTTTATTAGGAGATATGAAAGCTATGGGGAGAACGGGGGAATTCAACAAAGTAGCTCTTGTAAGTTTTTGTCGTTCACATCGGCAAACGCTAAGACTGAAGGCTACATAGAAGGAGCTATGCGAAATCTCAAACAGGAAGACTTCCTTGGAAAAAGACAGTTAAGAGCTGACGTATTTGTACTGCAAAATTATGAGCGCATACGACGTCGTGAGCGAAATTATGGTGATGGATTGCATGCTTACTTGAAAAAACAGAAAAAGAGAAGGTATGAAAAGAAGACAAAGAATATCGCTAACACAAACAATGAATCTGATAGTGATTTGCCAGAAATGACATATCACACAAGCCAAGAGAGATGGGGTAAGAAAGACCCGGAAACTCCTAAGCAGAATCCAAAGCTTGGAAGGTATCAACAATCACCATCAATTCCACTGAGTGTAACTCCAGATTTAAAGAAAAATAAAAGCAAAAGCAAAACGCTACTCGATAAAACAGACAGAGATACAACATTGATGCAAAGTTCACCAGGTAAAAGAAAGTTTATGAGTGATATGACGTACAAACAGAACGAAGCAGATAGTACCTATTCCGAAGTGGCAGTTACGAAGATGAAAATTGACGATTTAACAGAAAAAAAATAAACATGAAGATGTTCAGGTCATAAAGAAGGACAAAACCCGTAAGATATTAGTTTCTGGTGTATTTTGTCTACCGATTCTATAGCTGCTTGAAGATCACCAACTTTATCAACGAGAAAGGACGTGTTTTTTATAGCATCCAGTTTCTCATGAAGAACTTTTCTCAACTTGGGTGTGTCGTGATTTTGAAATTTTCCTTCGCACAATTTAGAATTAAAAGCAGGATGAAAAGACTTTTCGGATTTATCTGCAGTGCTTTCGATGTCGCATTTGGTGTCTTCCGGCGTTTCTATGGTTGTTGATTTCTCCTCTGCTGTTTTCTCTGAAATATCATAGTTTATAATGGTGAAATGTTCATTATCAAGTGTAATGAAAACGCTATTTCTGTAGTGATCAGGCAAAGAGTCGAAACTCCACTCTAGATTGGCGGAAAATATTGCAAAAAAATGTTTGCAAGGGTAATGAGTCTTCTTCCAAGCTTTGCAAGAACACTCTGGTTTGCTCAAATTTACAAGATGCCTTTCACGTGGGTTGGCTAAACTTCTGATATGAAACTCCCCCTTTTGGAAATTAACTGCTGAAATGTCAGAGGTATTGTACTCTGTGGCAGCATAACGACTTTTAAGGCAATGTTTTACGAATTGTGGAGATCTGTCTCTTAAATTGGAACGCTTTTGTTATACATTGCATATGCACTACTAAACATAAGGTTTTTTTGCATATAGCCCCGGTGAGAGTCAGGAATGAAACACTCTACAATTGTGATTGCAATGCCATTCACAGATTTATCCACTGATCTTGGTAAATATTCGTATTTAAATAGCTTGTTCATTGCCTCTGTGCCATTGTTAGTGTTGACGACGTTCACTGCTTGTTGTGTTTGAAACGCATGGACCCAACGTGCCGAACACGAAAGCCATGTGTTTTCAGTATATTCTTTAACTTTTTCATAGAATCCAGACTTCCGTAAGTTGGTGACTTCGGCATCATACTCACTCTCTGTGCTTGCAAATGATATTCTCTGCATTTGGCTCAGGAACATTTCCTGTACTTCTGGTGTTAGGTTGTGCTTCTTTGCTTTTGACCATCTTTGCATGGCTTGAATTCTGTGGAAATCGCAGATGTAGACTGTTATGTCATGAAACTGTTCTTCGATCGCCCCAATCTCGGCTGTTGAATAGTCGACCATGAAATACTTAGGGGTCCAATCACGATTCCATGATTTGACAATGTTCAAAGCTTCACTGATAGATACTCTGTCCTCTGCTTGGCACATGAACTCGCCACGAGTTTGTAGCCAACATTTTTGTGAACACAAATGAAGAACAGGGGTATCGCATACTTCGTTGTTTTGTATGTAGCATCCATCAAAACAAGCTCGTATCCATATCTTGTCAACAAACGCTGCTGCCATTGTTCTTGATGAACAAACAAAAAGCTTTGCTCTGCAGATACTCTATCGCTGTCGTTATTTCTCTTTGTCGTTTCCTCTCGCATCCTATAAAAAAAATTCGAAGTGGGATCTTTTGCTTTCCACTCGTCAACTTTCCTTACCAGTGCTTCCTGTTCATCGTCGCAAGATTTGAAAGAAGAAATGGCTCTACCAATGTGATTTCGAATGTCTTGCCGGATGGATAGTATCGTCGATTTGCTTTTTTGGGAACCTGTGTTTTTGGAACATCTCGAAATAGATCGTTCTCTACGAAATTGTCCAGCCATCGCTTTACTTCAGCAACGCTGGTAATATTTTGTTCGACCAAATCATAGATTTTTTTCACGACACGTGAATCGACGTATTGGCCAATTGATAACTCAGTTCCCACTGGGTGTTTTTGGTGAGCAAAGCTTGCGGTATCCTTAGATAAAATCGCGTGGACCTACGGACTTTTGCGTTCTCTTTATTAAGGGCCTCGTTTAGTTTAGTTAGAAGCGTACGTTTGGCAACTTTTATGGCGTTGTTGGATTGACAAGCGTTTTTGTCCATGAAGTAATCATCAAATCTCGATGCAGCGAATTTGCAAAGTTGCAGGGCACTGGAGTTTTCGACTGTTTTGTAGTCTAACTCGCTGTTTCTTTTCATATTCGTGGTCTCCCACAGACTGTACACTATAACCTCCTCTTCCATCCTGGATGTGTAATAAAGCAACGCAATTTTTTACCCGCTATATATATGTAAAAAGCCCAAATATTTCTTCTTTAATGTATAGCGAATGTAATTCTCTTTCTTACTGAATAAGATTTTTTAATAGTTAACTCTACAAACATTTTTATAGGCAGTGTTAATAACTAGAAATTTTTGATAAAAAGACTGTTTTTTACATCTTTGATGTTGTTGTCTGGTGATTGATCATTGATGTTGATTTACGTACCTTATTAGGTCCATGGAGACAATGCCGCGTTTCTGTGCTTTTTATAGAGAATGGCTTGCCAAAAAACGAAATTGGAAGATATCCTCTTTTGTCTTCAAAAACTGCATGATCTACGAGAACATGTATTGTAATTCATTCTATAGCTGAGTTACAACATCTGCGCGATCATTGTTTTTCATGTTTTCCAATTAACCCATTTTTGGAAAAAACGATATTTTCAATTAAGTGTGTTAAGTGGGATTATTCAAGCGTATTTGCGTCGTCGGGATCTTATTTCAAGCAACACATGTATTTGTCCAAAAACTCTGACCAGCCAACAATTTAAAAAAATATAATATAAAACAAATTCTGAAAAAACAGGACATCTTGAGATTGCAAAATATCAATCAAAACAAGACGAGAAGTGAACTGTAAATTTTCGACTTTATTTCAAAGTCATCCTCAGACATGTATTTGTAAACCTTGCTTGCGGCCTAACTAACATTAGCATGATTGGTTTCATGTTATCCGTGTTCATTTAAGTTGCTTGGATGTAGCGTAGCCTGGGGCAAAGTGCGACACCGGGGCAAAGTGCAACATTTGCCAATGATTATTAATTAGTTAAACTAAGCTGCAGCTTAAGAGTCAGTCAGCAGCTTCTCTGTCATCTGTGTCATGTAAGAAAAGTGAAACATCGCAGAAATTTACAAACGGAGAAAGCATGGCGGCCGTCTCGTGAAGTCAATTCACGAGTGAATTCAAATTGTGCTCGATAAAGTTTGGTTGAGTTAACAGGTATGTTGAAAAATTTTATTCAATACATGGCAAATGCTGGTAATTTCTCCATAGTCTTGCGGTTTGGATGTCGTTCCTTGAACTGAATCATCGTTTTTCAAAAAAGTTTCTACGACAACATTCATATTTGAGTTTATCAAAACCGCACTACTTTGGGGCAAAGTGAGACACTCGCCATATTTAAAAGTGATCAAAAGATATTATGTATCTGGTTTCTTTTGGCTTGCGTTTCTGTGTATGCATTGTTTGTTTTAAGTGACTATAAGCTCAGTTGACTTCACTATAATAGAATATGTATTTGAAATCTAAAGTCTAGTTTAATTTTTAGCAGAGCCATGGTTAGAAATTATGTTCGAAAGACAGACCACGGGTCCTGGAGTGAGAGTAATATGAAAGAGGCAATAAAAAGTGTCATCAAGAATGAAATGCCCCTTAGACAAGCAGCCAGGACTTTTGGTGTTCCAAAGGACACATTGAATAGAAGATTGAAGAAGTTGGATAAACAGAGTACTGATGATAACATTGATACCATGTGCCACAATAAGCTTGGAAGATTCTGCACTGTTTTGTCCAATGACCAGGAGAAGCAGCTGGCCAAATACATTACAGATATGGATAATGCATTTTTAGGACTAACTATTATGGACCTTAGGGTAATAGTTTATGAATTCTGTGACAAAAATAAGATTCCAAATCCTTTCTCAAAAGAAAAGAAACTTTGCGGGGAAGATTTTGTCCGAGGGTTTTTAAAAAGAAATCCAGACCTGTCTTTACGGAAACCACAAGGTGTTGCTTTAAATCGAGTATATGGGCTGAACAGGACGGCTGTGAGGACATATTTCAGTAATCTTGAGAAACTTCTAACTGAGCACAATTTTCAACCCCACAGAATTTATAACTGTGATGAGAGTGGAATTACCAGTGTTCACAAACCGGTGAAGGTGGTCACAAAAAAAAGGAAAACATTGTGTTTCCTCAGTAACTAGTGGTGAAAAGGGAATTACCACAACTGTTCTTTGTGCGGCAAGTGGTACTGGCCACTACATTCCACCCATGATGATCTTTAAAAGGAAAAATAAGAAAGATTCTCTCACTGATCATGCACCAGTTGGAACTTTGCAAGGAGTCTCTGATAATGGTTGGATCAACACCGAGCTATTTCTGCAATATACAAAGCATTTCATTAAGTATACCAATTGCACAAAAGAAAACCCTGCTCTGATGATTTTTGATGGGCACAAGACCCATACACAAAGTCTTCAATTAATTGATCTTGCCAGAGATAATGGATTGTTTCTTTTGTCATTGGCCCCCCATACAACGCACAAGCTGCACCCTCAGGATAGATCTTTTTTCAAGCCACTAAAAACACATTATAATAATGCTTGTCAGAAGTGGATGAGAAATCACCCTGGCCGAAGAATCCAAATCGAGAATTTGGGAGAGCTTTTCAATGAAGCTTATGTCAAATCTGCTACCATAGAAAATGCTGTCTCTGGTTTTCGCACAAGTGGAATTGTTCCATTCAATCCAGATGTAGTACCAGAGCACGAATATATGGAGGATCCATGTTTGTTAGTTACCACTTCCTCTGCTACAAGTGGAGAGGTTGCAAACAGTGTGGATGAAATTGAGGTGAACGTGCCAGAAGCTAGAGATAATGAAAGCCATGATGAATGTCTTTACTTGAATGAAAGTGTTACCACAAGAGCAACAACACCTCCAACACAAAGTTTGGCACCTGCTACATATCCTGTTTCTTCTCCACTTGGTGCTGATTTTGGCACCAGTCCAAGATCATCCACCCAAAATCACCAACCCAAGAACACAATCCCACAATCCTCAACATCATTTGAGGATATTTTGGCAACGCCTAAACTTTGTTTCAAAAGAAGCCGCCGAGGTATCTGAAATTATAACAAGCTCCCCATATAAAAGAAAACTACAAAGTGAGAAAGAACAACAGGCACAGAAGAGTTTAAAAACAAATAAGAGAAAAGGCAAGGCAAAGAACACGAAGGTAAAGAATAAAAGAAAACCAAAGGAAAAGAATATTGCAAGACCTGTTCTGACTGAATGTGAGAATGATAGATCAGACTGGATCTGCCCTGTCTGCAGTGGGAATTGGAAAGAAAGTGAAACTGATTGGATTGTTTGTACGAATTGCACTGCTTGGGTTCACGAGGAGTGCACATCAGACGAAATTTGTTTCTTGTGTGATTAGATTAGTTGTTTTTGACTTTTAAACATTTACATTTTGAACACTTACATTTTAGCTTAAGCTTTCTATAGATTAATTAATCTTTTTATCTTAGATTTGTTTGTACAAATGAAGTTTATATATTTTTCGAGATGTTTTCTCAAATTTTTCTCCTCCGGTGCCCTATTACCTATTAAAAAAGGTACCTAGCTAAGTGTCGCACTTTGCCCCAGGTAATGGGGAAAGTGAGACACTTCGACTTGTCGGATATTATGGAATACTGAAACGATACTTATTATATTTGAACGTTTTTTCATCCATTATTTATATCAGAAGGGCCTTGAGATTTATTGTGCCAATCTTTGAGTTAAACAAGTTTTTCCCAACCGAGATATATCAAAAAATGTGAAAAAGTGTCGCACTTTGCCCCAGGCTACGCTAAGATTGACGAAAACAAACATACAGTTTACGGCTTTTTGGCGTACGCACTTACTTGCTTGAGTAAATCTCTTATTACTCATCTCTTTCGTATGATTTTCGACGGTAACAAAGCTAATAGAATTAATTGCTTGAAGTTTCTGCAAAACAGCCTCCAATTCTTCATTTTTCCCATCAAAGTACGATAAACAATAATCATTTTCAATGTTCACGACATCGAAATGTTCATTAATGAAACAAATCTCCAAATTTTTCATTGCATTTATCTCATCCATGATTTTATTCGAAGGGAAAAGCCACTTAAACGAATAAGGGAAAAGCCAATATTCATATCAATAATTATTAATCGTGAAAGATGCTTAGGGTTTTCAAAGATTATCAATAATTATCAACTATGATCCACTACACTGACCATAATGCATCGCAGATGCACCCTCTCTCTCCGCCCACGATGTAATGTTTCCCGAATATATTGTAAACTCTGCAGCAAAAGCTTTGTAACGTTCTTCTACAACCCAATGACTATTGGTTGGTCGGTCTGACTTTTAGATATTACCTTGTCAATTTGCTTAAGAAGGCGTTCAACTTTGGCTTTTTTCTTAATACACTTAACCCTTAAACGTTCTAACTTCTCTTTTTTTCCCATCCTTTACTATAAGGCTAGCTATGTTCAAAGGAAAATTTTGGGAAACTTGACTTCAATTTATGGTGTTGCTCTGAAGGAATTTGCTTGTAGACTCAGCTAATTATAATATACGAGGCAGAATTATTGGAATTATTTATTCAAAACAATTCACAACGATATGATCCTTAAAACGGATAATTATAAAGAATAGTGCAATTATAAAGAAAGAGTTGGATTTTTCTGATTTCTTCTTTTTCTTTGGGATGGTTTCTGATTGGTTTTTACTTTTACGTTTGTTCGTCTTCTTCACCATATCTTCCCATTGAATAAAATCACACTTTTCATCCTTGGGAATGTACTTACATCTAAAGTACGGCCTTTCCGGATTGGAAGACGATTGGGACACCCACAAACTAGCGAGATTATCGCATTTACATGAAGGGAACTTATTCGGTTTGTACTGCTTTTCACAAGTAACAGGCAGCCTTTAGTTTTCCACTTCACTATCGCTCTGTCTGTTTTCTTAGACATGATTCAGTCAAGAACTGAGCTACAGAAGCAGGGATATTTTTTACGGAGACCATTATCCAACAGAAATATGTTAGTTCTTATGCTTTAAACTTGATATGATAAAGGCATACGAATTCTCTCTTTTCAAAGTATCGGACAGTCAATAAATTGAAATTCCAGCTAGTCGTGAGCATGAGTGGGCATGTTTGGGCAAGTTCATGGTAACTTTAATTTTTAGAGTATTCAATGTAGGCTTCACTGATCGTTTGAATAATTAAGAATGCAAAGGATTAATAAATCTTATTCAGGAAGCATTTGGAAGCACTTGTTATAAAATGAAAAATCGATAATCCCAACGACTCTTTCTTTTACCGTCCTCCTTCAACAACGTTAACATCAGATAAACCTATCCAAATCAAAGGTACTAATAATGTATCTGAGGAAAAGCCAGGAAGAATCTATCAAAACTTTAATGTTTTGCCATCAGACTAGTGACCAACGACGACTATTTTAATGATGACATGAAATGACAACCAGATGTGCTTAATAGATGCCAATCATGCCACCGATAGAACTACAAAAAAAAACGATCTTCCTTTGAACTTCTTCAATTTTCTGTGCAAAAAGTCTTGACAAAAGTGTTGTACATAAAAAACAACTGCTAAGCATGTTGCAAAACATCATGTGCACAACATCCTTGAATGTCAGAAATCAACTAAAGTACAATCTATGGAAAGAAAATGCAAAACTAAAGAATTAGCTTGGTAATAAGTTGCTACCACATTTGAAGGGAACAGTGATTTTCTTAATGCTGTGGATATTCATCCGACATTGGAACTTAATGTTCAAATGCTATTCATCCAACATAACTATTTATGTCTTAAAAACTTAAATAAACCTAATTCAAACCCTAACCCAAACCCTAACCAAGATTATTGTTACATTTTTATGTTTTGGTTGAAAAATATGAAAGACTAAGTGGATTATGATAACAACAAAATATTTGAATAATTCAACAAAATCGGACATGCTGGGGTGGGTTCCGAACTCATATAATTGACATAGGCTTCATTCATTCAGCTCTTACCACAAGGCTATGTAAACATCGACAAACTCTGAGCAAAACGTAATTTTGGTAGGCAACATAAATACATGAAAATTAAAAACTTAAAAAGTTTAAGGTAGCAAAATGTCTTAAATACTCGAAATTCTTTCTTTGTATTAGAAACATATTTTGAAATTTTATTCATAGAAACATTCTTGGTATAATTTATGAAGAAGGATTGGCAGATGAAGATACTCAATCATCACTGCAAAGAGTATGAGCCATTTTCATTCTTCTAGGATGAAGGGTAGAAAGCAAGTCTACAATTTTTTCTAAGTCTAGTGGAATGTTTCAATTTGCATGTATCCTACCCTCCAACTGTCTTTGCCATTAAGTCAACTTAGCAGGTGCTAACCAAAAATATTAGGTATATCCCCAGAGTAATAATCACAAACCATGTTAACACAAGTCTTCCAGCTAGATGTAAAAGATAAAAGAACAGAAGGCACAATGGCAAACCCTTTATAGCATAAGTGGGTTTCAGTGGAAACTTTGTATCAAGTTGAACTAAAGCATGATCAAGAAAACAGCAGTCAGATTTAGTTGAAATATTCTTCAATGGAAGTTGATGGCAAATTGGTCCTGTACATTTGTCGTTGAACAGTTCTAGGCTTTCCTAGGTTCAAGACCAATTCTAGCAGCAAGCTAAACAGCTTCTTCATACAGGAGAATGATCCTCATCATCAATGGAGATTCTACTATTTTACAGAAGTTTTTTCAAAATAAGATTTCTGATTCTGCTTTCAAGAGGTCCATTTCTTTACTATGTAACTTTACTGTTTCAGGCCTAGTTAGATCTAAGATTTAGTGAATGATGACCAAAGTAACCAAAAAAGAAAAATCAATAAGCTCTGAGTAAATTCTTTGCATCCTCTCTCCTATTTCCATTTCAGTCACCAGATCCAGGCTTATCATTAACATAATACCTATTTGCAGCTATATCCTCAAGGGTACAAAGCTGTGGATAAAAAGCTCAATGATTCTGTCAAAGCCATCCAGACAAGCATTCCATCTGGTCTCAGAAACATTAATAAGTATCTCATGATTCGACTCAGGCATTAAAGATCTAATCTTAGTTTTCATAATGGAGTTGCCATTTAGGAGTATTAGAAAAGAACACAGACAGGTTGCGAGCAATGAACAAGTTTCAGCAAGACAAAGATCGAGGTGGTGGTTCATGCAATGAATATACAAAACTTTATCAAACTGACTTGTCCAACTTACAGCAAATAATGTAACATAATTCGTCGTTCTTGGATTAAATGTTTTGCAGTAGATTGTGCTGTACTGTGATGTTTAGCTGAGCAAATAACAGAACTATAAGCCTTCGTCGCTGTAGAAGAGAATGGCTAGAGAAAGACTACTTGAGGCTGAGCGAAAACTCTTGCAGCTAGATCCCATATAGTCTTTAGGTTGTCTTTAGACAATGTTGTTATGCCACATTTCTCGTGGGATATACCAAGTGTGGCCCTTTCACCATCAATTACTTTCTCGACTCCATCCTCATATTCCTGAGCTTCTCCATTGACACCATCCTCAGATTTCTCAAGCTTCGTCAACTACTCCATCTTCAAATTTCTTGAGCTTGTCCAACATGTTGTCAAAGCAATTGTCAATGTGAGCTTGTCTTTGGGTATTTGTCATCTAAAATTAAAGAGAGCTTATTATTCAAGTTGTTTAAATCTGTTATATTGGACCTGGAAGCTAGTATTGATATTTTCATTGGTCTTGTGCCTATGAACAGCACGAAATTGCATCGTGATAAATGCTTAATATCACATCCTGATAAATGCAGTGTGTGACAAAAGCACATTATAGAAAGGTCTGATAACACTGCCTCACTTTGAGTCACTTTTTGGAACTTACCGATTCTTAAATTCCGATGGTAATCTTAAGTCCCGATCTGATGAAGGGCTTTCTTCACATCTTGTTCAAGCATTCAACAGGTTCCTTCAAGAACATGCAAAATACAGTCCAACACTTCTTTCCACCAGCATCTGCTATTATAATTTTGTTGGTGCTTTCAGCAACATTCTGAGTGTAAAATTGAGCAGGAGCACCAAGTCAAGCTTACTCACTAATGGTTGCAATAATTTTTTTCTCATAACTGATATCAAATACTTTGCAAACCAATCAAAGAATTTTGGGCTGGCTATTGAGGTGGGCTTTTTCTGCGTCATTAAACTTGTCTCTTTGTATCAGTCATGGAGTTGAAATCTTTTACACTACTTGGGTCAGCAAGGCCTTTGTTTTACACTTGACCATCCCTCTGTCCAAATATTGACTTGAGGATATGCAAGCAAGCTCTCTTGCTGAACCATAATTTGATAAATCTGCAATCAAAGTTACTTGCCAAGTGAAGCTTACATCTGAGATTAAGGGTGTAAAGTGATTTGCAAGCAAATTCCTTGGCTATGTTCACCGTCAGTGCCAAAAAACTCAAAGCTATTGCAGTGAGTCTTCGATTGCTTTGTTTGATAGTAATAATCTTTGAATATATATTTCTCAAATAAAGAATTGATGGATGAATCATCACAGGAAACCTACCAGCTTTGTTCGCTAACATTTTCTATCACTGCCAAATAAACTTCCTTTTTAATAGCAGGTGGTACACACTTGCTGCAAGTGAATGATTGCTGCTGTGTCATACTTTACCATCAAAAAAGCAATATTCATTGTTTAGAAAATGTTCACCATCTCTGTTTATGTTGTTTGCGATAAGTAGTTTCGCTTTATTGTATAAATTTTCTGCATACTGGTTAATTTGTTTATTTAGTCGAGAGTGTGAGAACTGGTTTTGTAAAGTAGCCAGGAATTGAACGTTTTCACCCTCAGAGAAATGCTGGCCAACTGCACTAGAAGAGAGCCTGGTTTCATGTTCTTTGAGCCATACAGACATGCATCCTTGTGTCATGCCGATGTAGGTTTTACCACAGCCAGGGTAGGTTATTTCATAGGCAAGATTACTGCAAGAATGTGAAGGAAGTTTGTCCTTGTTAGAGACAAATAAGAAAGTTTTTTAGTGTCATAAACAGTAACAAATTTCACTGGTTGAGGAAGATGTATTTTTGTATTTTCTTAAAACAGGACTTTAAGAGGAAATCGCCACGCTTGCCAAGATAAGGAATACAAACCCAGAAGAGCGGTTGTCAATGGGAATAGAATCATTGTATTTGGATTTCTATGCTATAAGCGATAATCTCACAAGCAATTTTTGCATAACGTTAAAATTAAATAGAAAGGAATAGACTGCAAAGATAATGTCATGAAATGAAAATATTCATGTATTGTACCTGTCATTCTCAGATACTTGCTCAAAAAGTTCTGGATTTCTGAGATGACTTTTTGATGAACTTGTCGTAACTTTCGTGAATTGCTTTAAACTCTGGACTGTTGATGTTGTCTATGAATGCCTCTTCAGGAAAAGATTGCATTATGTTAAAAACAATGTTGTATATGCCTTCATTTTCTTTGTTATCAAGCAATTCCAGAAATGCTTCAAATCTAAGACGCTTTAAGGCTTCATAGACCAATTTATGACAGGAAACTGATCTATTATATTGTTTCCCATGTAAAACACTATTAACGGATCCTGCTGAAACGAGCCCTGACTCTATGAAGATGTCCTGTTTGATAAAGACGAACACTTTAACTTTTAAATCAAACATTACTAGTCATCAGATAATGCTTTTCTATGATATTTGTATTTATGTGAGGCAATACTAAGTCCTCCATCTTTGAAAAGCTTAGATATGGCAGACAAAAGCACATATAAGCATAAAATTCTCCAAGACAAACTACAAACCGGTTGTAGAAAACTTGTTCCTTCCATCTTATTTCTTGTATTTTTGAATACAAGCCTTTATCAAATACTAGAACAGTCTGTTCCAATTGTAATTCATCCAGAATATAAGAAACTATCAGTATTTGAAGGACTTTAAAGAAGGAAATAAACTAATGGAGAAAAAAAATTTAGAAAATCACTAATTACACTAATTATCCAACATGGCAGCCACTAATTAACTACTGTGAAGGTACCACAGGATTCATCCTGACATTCATCCTTACATTCATCCTTACATTCATCCTTACATTCACCACAGGATTCACCACAACATTCAAAATTAGCATAAAGTGTGAAGTTGACACCACATTCAATTTAGTACTATTAAATAAGTTTCAGAAACAAAATAGAAAAAACTGTATTTTTTGCTACAAAAAAGCAAAAGATGCACACGTGTTTGGTGCCATTGTAAAGACCAAGTTATTTAGACAAGGATTATACTATTTTTATTTTGGTCGAAAGTCTTGGAGCAAATCTACAGCCTCTTAAAGACTACTTCCGCTTTTGTCTCTTTACGTTAATTAATTGTGCAATGTTTACAATGCATAAATGTTGACATCTAAAAAGGCCTAATTTTCAAGAAATAAACATGCTGGAAAATACTTGTGTTTGGTAACATCCGAAAGTACGTTTTCTGAGGATTTCAAATATATCTTTACTTTTGTGGCTCAAATTCCTGGAGCGAATCTACAGCCTTGCAAAGTCGACTGTGAAGGTACCACAGGATTCAAGATAGTACGGTTTTTATACGGTAAACACGCTACAATTTACTTGTGTTTAGTATCGTCTTAAAGATCTTGTTCTGAGGATTACAAATATGGTTTTATTATCTTGGTCCAAATTCGTGAAGCGGTTCTACAGCTTTGGAAAGGTAGAGCATTTTTGCGTTAATTAATAGGCAAGTTGTCATGTTGCATTATTTCACTAACGTCTAAATATGCAGGGTTTTGAACTAGTTAACACGCTGCAATATACTCGTATTTGGTATCAGATTAAAGATCTTGCTATGAGGATTACAAATATGTCTTTATTATTGTGGCCGAAATTCCAGGAGCGAATCTACAGCTTGAGAAATGTGGAGACTTTTTGCGTTAATTAATAGGCAAGTTGTCATGTTGCATTATTTCAGTAACGTCTAAATATGCCGGGTTTTGAACTAGTTAACACGCTGCAATATACTCGTATTTGGTGTCAGATTAAAGATCTTGCTATAAGGATTACAAATATGTCTTTATTATTGTGGCCGAAATTCCAGGAGCGAATCTACAGCTTGAGAAATGTGGAGACCTTTTCCGTTAATTAATATTCGCGGTACTTAACTGACATGTTTATATATATCTAATTTTGATGAAGTTAACACGCTACAATATACTCGTATTTGGTGTCAGATTAAAGATCTTGCTATGAGGATTACAAATATGTCTTTATTATTGTGGCCGAAATTCCAGGAGCGAATCCACAGCTTGAGAAATGTGGAGACTTTTTGCGTTAATTAATATTCGCGGTACTTAACTGACATGTTTATATATATCTAATTTTGATGAAGTTAACACGCTACAATTTACTTGTGTTTAGTATAATCTTAAAGATCTTGTTGTGAGGATTACAAATAGGAAGAAAAATGTTTTGTTTGTTTCTTTGAATGAACATATCATATAGATTATAAACAACATATAATTACAATAACAGCTCGCAAAAAACATTTTTTGGCGTTTTAGTTAATAAATTTCCTTAAGAACGAAAAAAACTTACATGCAGTATATTAAAGAACAAGCCAAACAAAAACAGGATAGCAGATGGCAAAATGATTATGTCTTCGTTTATACTTTTTTAGTGCGTCACGAAACAAGGTCGCAATAGAACGGGGACCTAAATTTGCCCCCCATCAGGGCGAATTTTATTGTTTGATAATGAATAGCTGTTTGTAATAATGATTGGACACAGGAAAGATGTTTTTCAGAAATTTTTATTTTTTTTGGAGATTTTTTTAAACTTTTTTTCTTTGGATTAACCTCTTTAGTCCCTGCAAAAGATGGTAAGAACAATGTAAGATAACAAAAGGAAATAATATTTATTTTTTGCATTGTTTTGAAATAAGTTTTGTTTTTGATTGATCGAATAGTGTCAGAATCAGAATGTTTTCTTTTTATTCTGCGAATATAGTTTAAAAACCTCTTTTTTTGTACACTTCACTACTTAATTGATCAAGTAAGTTTTTAATCTTTTTTGTTTGATATCAGTTTCTGAAAATCGTTTGACCTTGTAAATATATTAATTACAACTTGGCCACGCCCTTGGCCGCGCCAAATTTGGCGGCCTCGCCATTGGGGACGACCACCGCCGCGGCTTCTACGGCCACCCCGCTTCCCTCGACGTGGTTTTTTTGGGCAATCTTTAGGGGCGCACTCACTGATTTGGATACACGCAAATTTTTATGGAGCTAATCCCTCAAAAATAGTGTAATAGCCTTAAAAACAAAGTTAAGCGATGCACACATGTGGGTCCAATAACTATCTAAACTATTCTGCATTTACTGTGCTTATTGACAAAAGTGAAGTCCAAAAGATCGTGCATCGAAAACCATTTTTGCTGTGAATACTTTATCCTCAAAAACTCTTTTAAAACAATTTTCTGAACTGTACATATTCCACCCAACCGATAATTCAAAACGCTTGTAACTTTTGCGTTTTACATAAATAGGTTAGCGATATTTTCGACGATGTAACTTTTATTTCGTCTTTAAGTGAGGATTAACGCTTCATATAATGCAACTATATATCGATGAATTATGCAAGGTCTTTGTTGTACTGATAACATCACGAAGTACAAAATGCTATAAATTTTCGATCACAATGCACTGAGCGAGCGACGTATCAAATACAGCAAAAATACAACAATCTTAATAACTCAAATGACAAATTGCATTTTAATTTAAGTTCGCAGAAAATTTTTGGGCTTGCTTTGAATAATTCTCAAGCACAAACATCGGTTATCAATCAGCGCATGCGCAGAAGATATCACAAATATTCAAACGGTCATTACGTTTTGAAAAATAATTAATTCGTAATCTTTACACAAACAACCAATCAGAAAGTTTAAGATAATTTTCAAACCGCCCAAAATTCATAAACCGTCTACTGTCAAACGAATGATCAATACATGAAATTAAATATCCTTTGCGTACCTCTAATCGCCCATGCTCGATTGCAGATCGCATGCCATTCCGGTTATCGTGCCAGCGAAGATATAGGTTTTTCCGTGCAAGCAATTTGTTTCTAATCCCAAGTTCAACTAAAATTTTCCCCCAGAAGCTATTTGACTTTCTGTAAGAGTCGTTTTGGTCGCCAGACACATTTGACATAGCTGCAACAATTGCATTGACGTCAAACGTGTATTTCGATGGACGACCCGCAGTGCGCTGAAAAGCACAAACAAATGCAGTGAATGATAAAGGACATGAACGACCGTAAGACAAGAAGAAGCGATAACGTACCTTCATCATTTAGCGTTACACGAAAACGAGAAGAGCACAAAAGATTTAAATATAATCCTGAATTAACTTTTCTCGCAAAAGTAATAATTGCTTTGATAATACAGGAAAACCATTGACATCAACGATTCAACGGTCAGTCAAGAAAGACGCAAACACAGGATACGACAAAGACACATATGTTCTAATTATATTGCAACAAATTATGTAGCACAAAAGTGTTGTTCTTTTCATAAGCCGTAGATTCTCTCCTCGAACTCGTGCCACGATAATCAGAACATCTTTCCAATCTTCAGAATCACATCTTTAAAATGGTACCCAATGAAAAATGATTGCAGCGTGTTTATCACTACTTCAAAATTAGAAATAAGTACATCTCATTTAAATAACGCACAAATTAATTAAACCAAAAAAGAAAACTATTTCATAAGCTGTAGAACCGCTTCACGAATTTGGACCAAGATAATAAAACCATATTTGTAATCCTCAGAACAAGATCTTTAAGACGATACTAAACACAAGTAAATTGTAGCGTGTTAACTTCATCAAAATTAGATATATATAAACATGTCAGTTAAGTACCGCGAATATTAATTAACGCAAAAAGTCTCCACATTTCTCAAGCTGTGGATTCGCTCCTGGAATTTCGGCCACAATAATAAAGACATATTTGTAATCCTCATAGCAAGATCTTTAATCTTATACCAAATACGAGTATATTGCAGCGTGTTAACTAGTTCAAAACCCTGCATATTTAGACGTTAGTGAAATAATGCAACATGACAACTTGCCTATTAATTAACGCAAAAATGCTCTACCTTTCCAAAGCTGTAGAACCGCTTCACGAATTTGGACCAAGATAATAAAACCATATTTGTAATCCTCAGAACAAGATCTTTAAGACGATACTAAACACAAGTAAATTGTAGCGTGTTTACCGTATAAAAACCGTACTATCTTGAATCCTGTGGTACCTTCACAGTCGACTTTGCAAGGCTGTAGATTCGCTCCAGGAATTTGAGCCACAAAAGTAAAGATATATTTGAAATCCTCAGAAAACGTACTTTCGGATGTTACCAAACACAAGTATTTTCCAGCATGTTTATTTCTTGAAAATTAGGCCTTTTTAGATGTCAACATTTATGCATTGTAAACATCGCGCAATTAATTAACGTAAAGAGACAAAAGCGGAAGTAGTCTTTAAAAGGCTGTAGATTTGCTCCAAGACTTTCGACCAAAATAAAAATAGTATAATCCTTGTCTAAATAACTTGGTCTTTACAATGGCACCAAACACGTGTGCATCTTTTGCTTTTTTGTAGCAAAAAATACGGTTTTTTCTATTTTGTTTCTGAAACTGATGTTATTTAATAGTACTAAATTGAATGTGGTGTCAACTTCACACTTTATGCTAATTTTGAACGTTGTGGTGAATCCTGTGGTGAATGTAAGGATGAATGTCAGGATGAATCCTGTGGTACCTTCACAGTAGTCACTAATTAGCCAATAAATTAACTTCGCAGCAAACATGATATCTTGGGAACCAATGATCCAAATTCAACGAGTAATGTTTTTTTTTAAAAGCTTAGAACATAATCTAGTGCTTGACACTTCAATTTTTTATTAATTCTTTATGAAAAAAAATGTATTCCAAAATTTGATTTTCTTCAATAATTTTTCATTTCTGGTACACATTTTATGACATAACAAGTAAATATTTCATCAACAATGCAAAATATCAAAATTTGAAAAATGTCAAGCACTAGATATTACTAGCCTTCAATCTACA